AATTATAATGTTTTCTAATGTTTGACATCAGGCATACATTTGATTTCGATGCTGATGTAGACATCAAAATCAAACGTTGGGCTAATGTAAATTTCTATTCGGGGGGAATCTGCATACTTTTTAAGCTTTTTTGATTTAATTTATATTTGAGTGTAATAGTCCTCTCCAGACGTGTTCATATAGAGTTCTCTATCACCGTTAGTATTATTGAGAAGTTTCACTTATACATGCATTTTACTGGTTGAAAATAAAAAACAAACCGCTGTCAAGTCGAACACTTTGACAGTTAATTTCGTGGTTGAAAATAATAAACAAATCGATTTTACACGGCTACGCTCGCTAGGTTGGATTAGTGAGATCTTGCGTCGAGAAGTCAATTGGTGCGATTTGTTTGTGTTGGTGAGAGATGGAAGTTTTTGTTAGCTGTAAGATACGAGGGGTGATCGGTAATCAAAAATTACCTCAAACTGGGCTTTGAAGAATACACCGATTTTTATACATTACATCATCTGATAGCCCTAATAAAAAATAACCATAAACGAACGATAACCCAAATCATTGAACTATTCCATAAATGGTTTGGATGATACCCAGAACACGTCGTTAAGCAAATTAACCATACAATTTTTATTAGGGAGAGCTTCCCGCATAAACGCGAACCATAAATTGACCTTACCTAAAATGGTTAAAAATTGTTTATAATCCCAGCTAAACTTTAACTGAAATGGTTATGGAACTTTACATGAACGTTTAATGATAAAGTTTCAACCTTATGTATTATGGTTTTTTGGAACTGGACCTTACAAATAATGGGTTGTTAAGAACCATTACCGTTCCAAATTCTTGTTTTCTCCATAAATTTTCGGAAAGAGAACTATATTAGAACCTTTTAACTTATGGTTTGAGAACATTAATGGTAATGGTTATGGTAGTCAGTAAGGTCCACGAATGGTTTTGTAACATCGATCAACTTTATGTGGAATATATCGCGAATTGGTTGCCTGTAATTTACTGTTATTTAATTGTGCCATCACTAGATGAATGTGAAACGTCATTTCAAATATAAGGACCGTACATAAATAATGAAACAATTTGAAAGGGACCGGGACTAATCACAAATTACGTCCCCACGGTAACTGAAATAAACACGAGTGTTCACCGGTTGGTCTGGCTTTTCATTTGACAGTAGTATAATTCGTTTTGAAAGTTTAAACTCTTAAAATTAATGGCCGGAAAACTTTTGAATTGGGTTCTTTAATTTTGAAAAATATATCTGTTTTTATATATCATCTGAACAAGCTCCGTTTTCTGAGCACAGCAATATTTTTTTCGAACCCACACACTTTCATCTCGATTTTTAAATCAAGATTTAAAGCAAAATAATAACTTCACTGTTTGCCACTAAACTGACAAACTGACAGCTCGCTCCCATACAAAGTGACACCGAGGGGCGCTGATAAGGTGATTTTTGCAAATTTAATCGTTCTTATTTAAAATAGTTCCAGTGTACCAAAATTGATGAAATTTTGGGTATGGATTCCATTTTTAATGCAGATAACGAATATGTATTTACCCTATAGGTGTCATTGTTATTTATTGTTATTTTACATCAACAGGCTGGATGAAGCCCCAATGATTTAAACCTTATCAACTATGGTAAAAAAAATACATTCAAGCATGGTCATAACATAAAAAAAACCTTAAAAAACGTATATCTTATAGTCAATATCAAGGTTACAAAGACTCATTTCAGCTAAAATAATGTTTTTCGGAATAATAAAACCAAAAGATGGTATGAGGGCATGTTTTACTTGTAACTTACAAGAAGAGGTTACAAAGTATGCGTTGGAAACATAAAACCTGTAAATTTTGCTTTCTATGAGTCACAATCAGCGATTTACTGATCGCTGAGTGAGTGAGTGAGTGAGTGAGTGAGTTTGTGAAAAATCGCTGATTGTGACTCTCATGAAGTGAAATAAACAGGTTTAATATGTCAAACACATTCTTTGCAACCTCTTCTTGTATCCTACCAATTCAAAATTTGATCATGGCATCTAATTATTTCATAATTTAGAAAAACATTGTTTTAGCTGAAATGAGTCTTTGCAACCTTGGTCAATATCTTAACTCCTGCCGGCGAAAAACAGAAGAAAACTTTCGACGAAGCGCATCACGGGAGAGATGAAAGTCGAAAACAGATGCAACTCTGTTGAATGTTCTCTGCAGTGCGCAAATCGCACCGTACGCTCCATAATTTGTGCGACGTAGAGGCAGTCTTAGCATAAGGTTATTACGAAGCGGTCGGGGTTGAACATTCAGGTCAATTTGCCTCAGGATAGCCTCACAATCTGTCCTTCCTTGTAGGATATCGGCCACAGTTAGGGCTCTGTTTGTGTCTCTCTAGTCCGGAGAAGTTCTAGGTCGATAAGTTGACAACGGCTTTCGTAACTTGGTAATCGAAACGGATCGTTCCAAGGCAATCTACGCAACGCAAAACGAAGAAAGCGACGTTGAACAGATTCAATTCTCTCGGCACCGTTGTTGTAGTTTGGGTTCCAAACCACTGAACAATACTCAAGCGTCGATCGAACAAGCGAACAATAGAGAGATTTTAGACAGTAGATATCAGTGAAGTTTTTAGCTATCCTAAAAATGAACCCTAAAGTTCTTAACGCCTTATCAACAACATATGCAATGTGTTGCTTGAATGAAAGCTGCGAATCCAAGATCACACCCAAGTCTTTCACCTGATTCACGCGTTCGATTGTCGAGCCAAGCAGGTCATAGCTAAATATTATCGGTTGTTGTTTTCGTGAGAACGTAATAGCGGAGCATTTGGCTGGGTTCACTACCATTCTGTTTAACCTGCATCAACTAGCGAATACATTCAGTTGACGTTGAAGAAAGTGACAGTCAGCAATGGAGCAGATTCGTAGGAAGATTTTGAGGTCATCTGTATATGATAACCGAGGAGCTTCGATGACCAGATGCACGTCGTTGAAGTACAGTATAAAAATTAACGGTCCCATGTGGCTTCCCTGAGGTATACCTGATGTGGCGAAGAAGCTAGCTGATCTGCAATCTCCTATGGCAACTTTTAGTTGCCGACCGGTAAGATATGATCGAAACCAACTCAGAAGATTACCGCATACACCGAGCCTGCCGAGTTTAGCAATCGCAATAGCATGGTTCAACTTGTCGAATGCTGCGGATAGGTCTGAATAAATAACGTCCGTTTGAACCCGATCCGACATGCTTCCGGTTATATAAGATGTGAGACACAGCAGATTGGTAGTTGTAGAGCGGCCGACAGTAAACCCATGTTAATCAGCACTCAAATACTGCTTGCAATGGGACAGCAACGGTTCCATAATCACTAGCTCGAATAGCTTCGAAACGGCACTTAACGATGTAATTCATCGATAGTTATCCACAGCTCGTTTCCTTCCTTTTTTGTGGACGGGAAACATGTGCGCAAATTTCCAGCAAGATGGAAATATGCCACCTGAGAGAGACATTCGGAACAGGCGAAGAAGCGGAATTAACAAGCTAGCAATATGTCTCTTCAAAAATACAGATGGAACTCCATCAGGTCCAGGATTGAAGGATGACTTGAGCAGAGTCGCGGCCTTAGAAATCATTTCTGCATTAACATCAATTGCACCCAGCGTTTGATCGTTTACTGAAACGTTCCTGGCAGCCAGGTTAATATGGTCGTCAGTTAGTGTCTCATTAGTGAATACACTGGAAAACTTTTCGGAAAAAAGGTGGCATATATCCTGAACAGTGGCAGCAACTTCTCCGTTGAATTCCATAGACGATGGGAGACCGGGTTCCCTGCGTTGCTCGTTCACGTAGTTCCAAAAGGAATTCGGGTGTAGCTTAAGTTTGCGCTGGATGCCTCGTTGGAAATTTGAAAAGCATTCACGACTGACTCGCTGGTACATGTGATTCAGCCTCACATAATGTAGTTTCAGAGGAAGCGTGCGATACTTCGTAAATCTTCTCAATGCTGCTCTCTTGATTGACTTCAACCTACGTAGCTCTCTCGTCTGCCAGGGAGGGTGAGACACTTTGTGGTGAGTTCTTTTCGGGACGTGTCTGTCAATGACATATGCCAAGACATGTGAAAAGGTTTGCGCTGCAGCCTCAACGTCATCTGGATCAAGGATGTTCTCCCATACCATGCTAGACAATACATCTATGATGCTAAGGTGGCCAGCTTTACGGAAGTCATAAGAAACCGTAGCAGTATAGTCGCCAAAATCACGCACGAGTTTGTCCTCAACAGTGACAATTAGAGGAGGGTGATGTGGAACTAGCTTAGTTAGTGCACAAGGAGCCGAGGAAATTGATGAAGCCCTGTCCTATGTGCTCACGAAGCAGAGCTCCAAACTACGACCATTTCCATTAACTACATGGTTAATTTGAGAAAGCGTCGCTGCCCTGTAGTTGTCGAGAAGGCTAATAGCTCCTGCGTGAAATGTATAGAGCTATCAGGATCTGGATACAGGAATCCGCTATGAGATGGACTCCACGAAACGCCTCCCTAATAAAAAATGACCATACACGAACGATAACCCTAATGTTTGAACTATTCCAAAAATGGTTTGGATGATACCCCGAACACGTCGTTAAGCAAATTAACCATAACATTTTTATTAGGGCTGGCAGATTGAAGTCACCAAAAATGAATATCTCATCATGACCAGTTTTGGCTCTGCTTTGATTCATCAATTATTCTATGTAAATTTTATGATTTTAGTCGTTTCAGGTATACTTTATTATTTAGTTATTGAAAATCGAATTTAGATATTAAAAAGAAGAAAATCTGAAAAAATGGGAGCGATGCTCGATATTTTCCCTCGATTTTCCACATCGGCTCACCCCTCAGCAGCAGCTCTGCTATTTTTCACTAGACGACAACTGTCAAAAACGAAAGCAAAGCGGCAAGCCGGGAAACGGAAAACACAGCAGATGTTAATTTTTCCTGAGATTTTCGATGAAATTCAGTGAAATTCAGTTGCAAAATATACTTGAAGATCATATTTTATCCCGGAATACCACAGTTCATTTCACACGACAATGGATTCCACCGGCGTAAGTACATAATGTTTCAAGTTAGAATCATAACCACTGTTCCCATTTTGTTTACGTTTTCTCCTATGTGTAGGCATTTATTCCTGTTCAGACTCGAGTCCTGGAAATCCTTAGTCTGCCGCCGATGATGCGATGTCCGGAATTGGGACTGCTGATCGATCGTGCCAGGTAAATAGTATGAAATTTCTCCAATCGAGAAAATCAGAAGAAGATGTAAGTTTCGTTTCAGTCTGAAAGAGCTGCAGGACATTTATCCAACGTTAATCAATTCGGTTTTCGGTCTGAACGGCGGTACCGGTTGGGGACTACGGGTCATGACGCGTGACACCCATCCACATGACTTCGATGTGCTGTATAATTTCTTTATTCCTATTGGGGGTCCAATGTTTAGGATGTGCTATCGTTTACTCAACGATTCCCTGAAATACGAGCTTCCAATTTCGTATCTACCGGTGAGTACTCAGGTGGTCGACAAAGGTTTAATGATTCTTGAAAATTAACCATGCTATTTTGGTTTTAGCCAAAAATGCAGCAAGTCATTGAAAGCGGACGATATTCGGCTTTTTATAGTGACATTGTTAACATTGACCCGTTTAGAAGACAAGCTGTGTCCCTGTCGTTGAGTAAGGTTTTTGAATTTGAATTTGCTTTAGGGAAATTATCTATTAATTCAACTTACAGATGCTTTCGATTACTTTATGTTCCATTTTGCCCTGCATGGAACCGTGCCACTGCAACTTCTTTATCCGGCAGCGCTGACTTTGGGAAACGAGAAGGCTAAAACGCTTTACCTTATTTTAACGGCTGAATATTTGTGTACCTTTTTGCCAAGCCATCCAGACTCCATTATCCTGCCACAAATTGTAGGTGGAACAATAAAGGTAGCTTCACCGGCTACTATACCTGTGATGACGTGAGTATTACGACTTGTATCGGCACTGAGGTTGCTTCTTATCTATACTTTTCGCTTCATCGTTCTAGGCCAACCAAGTCGCCGAAATATTTGGTCCTCTCGGCCATTCATCATCACCCTCCAGCAGCAGCATCCACGTCACATCAGCGTTCAACAAATAGCAGCTCGATCGAAGCTTCCCGAGCATATTGCTGGCGGTCCGAGAGCGTTCTTTATATATTTGTCGATTGTTGGCTACGATTGGACGTAGATGATGCCCGTGAACTCCCAAGCAATGAATTTATTCGATGTGTAAGAATTCTCGTTAAACAGTTGCATGCATTTGGAAACAGTGCGGAGCTAGATAATAGCTCCATGGCGCTTTTAAGGCAATCGGCTCAACCACTAATGAACGTTCGGATGTATGGTTTTCTGAAATCGCTGATGGCCCGCTGGCCTCTAGATAGTTCATTTTCGGACGTTCTGGAACTGTGGCTGAGCTACATTCAGCCATGGCGTTATACGTTCAACAGGGACTTGAGCAACAGCACTGAAATGCCCATAACACCACGTCACGAAAGCTTCATAGCTGAGAATTTGATTGTGTACACTCAAATATTTGTACAACTCATCCCACGGTTCGAGCGGATGGACCTAACTACCCTGAGAAACGTTCTGATGCTGTTTCGGCTGTTAAAAGTATTCAATCAAAACAATTTGGTCGAGCTGCTTTGCCAGAATGAGGCCATCATGTCATCCAATAACAACGTATCGCTAAACAATTCCACGTTCAATGTTTCAAACTCGCCGGGAAACCACTCCGGTGCATCCAATCGAAGTGTAGGAAATGCCAGCACCGGTGGACTGAATCGTTCTTTCAATTCCAGTGGTGTTGCAACGGGGGCGCCCGGTAGACCTGGTACGCCGGGAAATCGATCAACCGGGGAGCCGGCAGACGATAGCTATGTGTTTATCTTCGGCGAGCTCTTTGCGCTGGCGATCGAAGAGTTGCTGAAGAAAATTTACGTTTCCATGTCTGTTGCAAGGGAAAACTTGCGCCAGGTTCAACAGGAGAAGGCTAATCGCTACCAGGGAGTGCTCAAGTATGTGTATATGGTGATTGGATACTTTGATCACGATCCGATTTACGCCGCCATGCTGAACGATCGGCAGAAGATCCCCGATATTTTGGACGTTGCCCTGCAGTCACTGGCCAGGATGTTCCAGGTGAGTTTCCGGGAGGTTATTGGGTTGTTTGTGTTGTGGGGGATATATGTACCTGTAGGTACGCTAATTAGTGCAAGCTTCTGCAAAGAAAATCAATTATTTCTAATACCGGACTGATGAAAAAAAAACGTTGCAAAGACACACTGTTAGAAATTCCCTGCCAAAAACGGAATACGGGTCATTACATAAGCATAACCTTGTCGCTGATCAAAGCAACTCCCGATAATTTCAATCATAATCCGAGCAAGTGGTTCAAAGAAGATTCCGGAGGATTGGTTTATATCCAATATAGCGCACGTGATAAGTAAAATGATAGTGAAGCGCCTCTAGAGGGGTAGTTCCCAATTAAACTTGCTAGCTTAGCAAGTTTTTATTTTATTTTTTCAATATTATGTATTTAAGAACATTTCCTAGTCTTTTCCCTTCCCTTGGCTAGTTTTTGCGATTGTACGACTTTTCCCCGAAAACCAGTTCCCCGAAAACACTTTCCTCGATAGTTTTATCCCCGAAATACGATTCCCCGAATGAACCAGTTCCCCGAAAGGAACGTTTTCCCGAAAACTATTTCCCCGAAAGAACTAGTTCCCCGAAAGATACAATTTACACTGTGCGATCTATTTAAACATGATCCTTGGGCTTGTTACAACTTATCTATATGAAATTGAGAAAAATATCTTTGCTGAATATTGATAAACAGAACAAAGTCGTTCAACACCCTAGATAAAGTTTGTGGTTATGACTTGTTATGACATTTGGCGGTTTATCAAATTGATATCTGATTGTAATGAGCATAAAGACTGAGCTTTGATATAAAGAAGGGAAAATTGTGTCAGTTTCATCAAATCTTTCGCTGGTTAACTACTTGTATCGAACAATACCACAATACTCGCGTCACTTTTCAAATCGACCAATGTAACAAATGTAAACAAACCGAGTTAAGCGATACAAACTGTTGCTCTTCTTTCATTGTATGTCATACAAAAACATCCATCCAAATTCACTTTCATTTATTTAAGATAATCATAGGTAAAAAATTGTCCTATGTACAGTTTGAAATGATGGGTACATGATTGTTACTTCGGTCATTCGGACTGCCTAACATGATTGGTGCTCATTTTTCAAAGGCGGGGCCAATCTAAAGTTAGGTACTATACTCTGAAATCTGTGAAAGGGAATCTAGTATCATGTAGACAAAACGTCCAATGTAACACTCATTGATTATGTCATTGAGAAAAATCGTCCAATGTAACATGTCCGATGTACAACTCTAGTTGTCAAAACGTCCTATGTGGTTTTTTCTATGTTGTAGCATGAAATTCAAAGTAAAATTATGATTTTACCGTTTCTTCTGAATTTTCAACTTTATTATACACTGGCTACATTAAAAATAGTATTGCAAAATGTATTGTTTTTGAACAGTTAAATTAATAATCTGTCGAACTTCAACTTCGATTTTCTCAAAATGGTGGATATGTTACATTGGTCTATTTGAAAAGTGACGCGAGAATACACATATCAATGTGTGTCGAATTAAAGTGGACTCTACACGACTGTTTGTATTGACAATAATCGTATTGTCAATGCATTTTTTATTGACGTCAATACATCGGTATTGACAATATATCTGTATTCACATCATCAATATTATTGTCAATACTTTTAAGTATTGACAATATTTCTTACCGTGTGGGGTTCGCTTAAGACAATAGTTTGACTTTCGTTAAAACTACATGTAAAGGTCACACACTAAGATTATTTCACCGAAATCTGTGAAATTTTACCGAAATCTCAACAGCTGAACGTTCGTTAAACAGTTCGGTGATTTTTCACAGATTTCCTGTAATTTTTTACCGAATATTCTGAAATCGGTGTATGGTGTTTTCTTCTTGCTCCATACAATTTTGGATTCGGCCTATAAGGAGTCGCAAAGTGACTATAGCATGTATTGCATGGGGACGCATGGTATCTTTTATTTATTAGTATGGAGTTTTTTAACGTTTGTACCTACACACAGAAAAATTGATTTTTGTTTCAGGGCCTAATGTATTTTGTTATTGATTCAAACATATTGTATCACTATTTCAACAAAACATATTTTTGAATCAACAAAATGGTTTTTAGAATCAACAAACAGATTATTGACTCTACAACCGGTTTGTTGATTCAAAAATATTTTTCTTAGGATTAACCGAATAATATATTTGAAACAATATTAAAAATATATTAGGCCCTGAGTCAAAAATATATCCATTTGGATTTAAAAACCATTTCTCTGCGTGTATCCAACACACACACACATACATTGTATGCAATTAGCTCCATGGAACATACCAAGTTATACGTCAAATAATCAACTAAGATAAAAAGAAGGAAAAATTCTTGCAACAAACAAAATTTTCCCTTCTTTGTATCACAGCTCGTTCTTTAACGTTTTGAAGAATAAATATCTTACTAATTTATAAAACTGATATCTAATCGTAATCATATTAAAAAAACGCGCCGTTAGGGGCCATACATTAATTATGTCACGCGAAATTGAGGCAAAATTAATCAATCACAGATTTCTACACCTCCCTCCTTAGGGCGTGACATAATTTGTACATCACCCCTTATACAAAGAAGAAAAATCGTTGTTTGTTTCAAGAAATGTTCCTTCTTTGTAGCACAGCTCGTTTCTTAACGTATCGCATAATATCTACCCTAATAAAAATGTTATGGTTAATTTGCTTAACGACATGTTCTGGGTATCATCCAAACCATTTGTGGAATAGTTCACACATTTGGGTTATCGTTCGTTTATGGTAATTTTTTATTAGGGTATCTAATTGGTTTTATCAAAGAGATATCATTTTCCTTTCTTTGTATCACGGCTCGTTCTTCAATTTTATTACAATGAGATATCGCTTTGATAAATTAGTAAGATATTTATTCTTCAAAACGTTAAAGAACGAGCTGTGATACAAAGAAGGGAAAATTTTGCTTGTCGCAAGAAATTTTCCTTCTTTGAATCATAGTTCATTCTTTGACGTATAATATGGTATGATCCATGGAGCTAATTGCATACAATGTGTGTGTTTGTTTGATAGGTACGACCGTTAAAAAAAACTCCATACAAACAAAGAAAAGATATCATGCGTCCCCATGCCATACATATTAGTCACATGGCGACTCCTTATAGGGTGAATCTAAAATTGTATGGAGCACGAAGAAATCAATATGTGTTGAATAAAGACAAAAGTTTGACTTTCGTTAAAACTACATGGAAAGGTCAAAACCTGGTGAAATAGGATTACACCGATTTCAGGAGCTTGACCTTTACATTTTGTTTTAACGAAAGTCAAACTATTGTCTTTATTCGACGCACATTAATATGTTTATTGTGGTATTGTTCGATACAAGTAGTTAACCAGCGAAGACGCGCAGATTCGGGGAAACGGTACATTCGGGGAAATTATTTTCTGGGAACTGTGCCTTATATGTCTTATCTTATATGTGCTTCATTTTGATTTGGGATAAGCGTTTGAACTATGGCTCGGGATTTCCACTGTGGTGTGCTTCTATTGTGACATACCCATACGTATTTTTGTGGTGCGACATAGTGGAAACGTGAGAGCGTAATAGGAACATTTACCCTTACAATTTAAAATTAGCTAGGAAACTAACTTCAAAGTGAAGCATTTTAGTCTCTTGCAGGTGTCACCTGGGACGAACAAAGATATAATTAGTATATGTCAAAGCCAGAAGTACTTGAAACACGTTAAATTTTAGTTTAATAGCATGGGTTATGATTGTGTAGGTAGATTAGAGATTTCAGTTATTTATTAAATAAGACTAAATAATCATCAAATGAACTTCAATAAGAGAATTCAGAAAGTCAATTAACATAAGAGGTAGGACGCGGGGGGTCCGCTTAGGGAGGCAACTAGCCTTTAGAGTTGTATAATAAATCTTTCTATTTAGTATACTTGTTAATTACAGGCAATGTCAATAGCAGTCATATCTTCAATCAGGCGCTTACGAATAAGTGAAGTTCTAGGAAAGATGTGTTAAATATGTTGATAGGTTTGAAATAAGAATTAGGATTGTTGTGCTTTAGTTTTCGGTAAGGTATGATGTGTCAACTAAACCCTTTTGAGCCAATTTTCAAAAATCAAATTGATTGAGTGATTTATTGAAAGACACCTTAATTGAAACATTGCGTTGCGTTAGAAAACAGTATTCTTCTCTACCGAAAATTGACAAGTCATACATCTAACATAGTAGTAGTAACAGTGTCGCATAATCTAATCACAATTGCTGCAAATAGTGCTGAAGGGACCGGCAGAGCTGAATACGGATCAAAACTAACATAACTCTTAACACTAAAATGATCCCGGAACTAACACTGATCCATTGCACTTTTACACGCAGAAAAATGGATTTTTGTTTCAGAGCCTAATGTATTTTGTTATTGATTCAAAAATATTGTATCACTATTTCAACAAAATAGTTTTTAGAATCAACAAGCAGATTATTGACTCTACAACCGGTTTGTTGATTCAAAAATATTTTTCGTTGAATTAACCGAATAACATATTTGAAACAATATCACAAATATATTAGGCCCTGAGTCAAAAATATATTCATTTGAATTTAAAAACCATTTCTCTGTGTGTAGTTATATATTAGTTTTATTTTCCTACTGATTTATCTATGCTTCTGTCTATTGTTTGGATCAAGTACAACTAATACAGACAGTGGCACACCATTAATTGATCCACTGCTTTCGCATATGCCGGTTGCTTGCTGTGCTCTTTTGGACGGTTTTAACTTTTACGGGTTCACAGAAGTGAATACTTTTCCGAACCGAAATGGACGTTTGCTAGATCTTGTCCTGGCAAATGATTCCGCACTACCGGGCACTTCTGTTTCCTTGCCGGTCGAGCCACTGATTGATCTAGATGCCAATCATCCCGCTCTCGTCGTGTCATTTAGTTCACCTGCGCCGATTTTTTTTACGC